TTAAGTTACCATGTGAACCCCACATACAGAAACAAGGGAAGTTCAGTTTTATCTTCAACTCACCTTGGGTCCATCACTGTGATAGTAATCCTATTAGCCGATACATTTTCTGGCTGCTGTGTCTCAATTTCCATTTCCGGCGAGCTTCTTCGGGAACCATCATAGAAAGCTGGCTGTTTAGGCGAAGTAAGAGTATTATTTCCTTCGCCGTAAATCATGGAAACAACATCTAACATACTTGGTCTATCCTCTGCGTTTTATTGTTTACACAAGAGCAACATGAACGCATCTCAACCAGTGGCGGATCTAGAAAGTTTTATTATGGGAGGCAAAATTTTCAAATGTCAAAAAAAAAATAACATTCAACCCTATATTTAAGATTTGATGGGAGGCAAACTTAACCAAAATTTCTAAAATCTATTATAAATAGTAAAAAAAACCATTTTTCATAAAATTCATATGGGGCAGATGCCCAACCATTTATGGCTGTAGATCCGTCACTGATCTCAACACTTGAGGGTTCTCAAGTGCAGAATCTCCCAAAGACTAATCTATCACCTCGTGAATTCGTTTTTTTTAAAACAGATTCCAATATGCTAACAATGAAACTAGAAGAAAAAGTTTAGCATTTTACATGAACTATGAGATTCAGAGGCCCTTCTAAATCATGGTGAAAACTATTTTTCTTACTTCCACGGATAGTTTTGAGCATCAGAACACCGTAGCTGAACACATCTGATTTAGCCGAGAATAGTCCTTTTCTGAAGTACTCTGGAGACATATAACCACTACATACAACACAGATAAACTCAATTAAAATCTGATCATGGTATCAAATTTCCAACATTAGTTTTTCTCTGATGTCGCCTTTTTTTTTTCTTGAACACCATGTGATGTGACCCTAAAGTAAACTTACAGGCGACTATTAAGAGCACCTCCATTAGTGAAATTTTCTTTTTTTCGTTTGATTTAATAAAAAATAATAAATCAACCAACCGTGGGCCACCACGTGTCATGGAGTCCACGAAACAGTGTTGAACCCGTTTGACTATTATAATATTTTTTTTTTTGAGAAATGGGTGAACCTCATCAATAATAATTTGATAGAGATGCTCTAAGGCTACAAAGAAATATTTTTAAACGAGATGTTCACTATAGATTTTACTACTTTACATTGACATTAACTGACTGATACATGTGAGCAATTATGGCTTTGATCGGTAATTGAGTTACCATTGATTAAGTTTGAGTTAGAGTGATAAATCAAAAAATATGTCACCAGTCATGAACTAATTTTAGAATTTTGAGTTACTATTTGAATTAAAATGTGTTACATTTGAGTTATAATTTTGAGTTCTCTCTTTAGTAAAATTGACAAATCAAGTACTACCTCAACATCAAGAGAAAAGCCATGTGTTAAGACTTGAATTAGTGTTTTTTGGGTTTCAACTGAAAACCCACGTCCACTTTCAATTTAACAAAAAAATTCTACATTGTTGTTTAAGTCTTTTTTTTGGTCAATAGTTGTCTAGGTTTATCAATGTAATTATATAACCATTTTTTATAATTTTAATTATTAATTCTATTTGGGGGATATTGTTATAACTAAAATTGATTATTTATATGGGTGTTTTTATTAAATTTTAATAAATATTATTATTGTTTATATTTTTATTTTGTAGAACAAACTATACATCAAAAAAATAGTTTTAAAAATATTTTTTCATATTTTAATTCAATGTCATTATATAAATATGTAAACACCCTATTGTATAATAAATATATGTTCAAATATATTTCATACTTTTGATTTAAATTATTTTATATTAATATATTTTAACTTTTAATATATTTTATTAAATATATAATCAATTTTATTATTATTGATATTCATCATATTTTAAAAAACACTAGATACTGCAACTTATACATCAAAAATGCCACCAGCCAATTATTTGAAAATATATAGTAACTCATATTTTTATTGCAAAGTTACTACATAAATCTACAGTTTCTACCACATAAATTTTACTGCAAAGTATATCAAATTATAATTTTTTTTTCTAATTCAACTCTAATACTAGATGTCATCGGAGCCTACAAGTTCATAGAATTGATTTAAACACTTAATCGCAAAAGAAGTTTTGAATTTTATTTTTGATGTTAATTAATAAACTTCTTTACCTTAACACACGAATCTTCTTCAGCTGTATGCTGCATCGAGAAGGATGAGAAAATAAGCATGGCCTCGTTCTTGAACTCCACTAATCCTTCGCCTGATGTTATTGATAGTCTCTTGATTACAACTTCTTCCCCATTTAATAACATCCCTTCAAGAAAGTAGATGTAACATGAAAATCATCTCTTTAAAATCCAAATGCATATAAGCAGGACCTTTATTTTTAAGTTTATCAATTAATAAAATTAAAGAAAATATTATACTCCTTCAGTTTCACAGAGATACAGTTTTAGGAAAAAATATTTCACTTAGATATAATTTTGTGTTATTCTATGAATCTTTGATTATTTGATAATAGTAAATTGTAACTTTCAACAAAATTAATTGAGTTACTATTAATTTTATTTTATTTTAAATTGATATTCACAGAAAATGATGCATTTGTGAAAAAAATTAATTTAATTTATTAATATGTGTAAATAATTCAGAAATATTATTTTGTAAAATAGATGAAGTTTCAAACACATGTAAAAATTAATTTATTTGCAAAAACCTTTAACTGCTTTTACTTATGTTTAAAACTTCATCTATTTTACAAAATATATCAGTTAACATTAAATGCTTGAAACGAGCAAGTAAGATGTTACTCTTATAATTAACTGAAGTAATAAAGGATTTTTTTGTTGCAAAATATCTCGAAAATGTTATTTTTTATCAATTAGTAGAAATCAACCGTAAGAACATTAAAAAACCAACCAATTGATATATATATATATACATATATATATATATATATATATATTCATAAATCATGAGAATAGTATCAAGAACAATTCAAAGAAGAAGTTAACAAGTAATCATACATAATGAAGATTAATACAATTTTCATGACATTTTTTTTTATTACCATTTTAGTATCATATGCATATCCAAGTTTGGGCCAAGAAAGTATTGACGAAATACCACTGGTTAAAGCCGATCAGGAGTTTGATACATTGAATGCGAAATCGCCAGCTTCGGAAGATTATAATATTTATATGCTAGAGTTGGAAAAGAATGTCACATGGAGCTGAATAAGTTAATGTTTCGATTGTATCAACTCAAACGTTTTGCTTCTTAAGTTTCTTTTAAAATTAATGAGGTTTGGAACAGATGCTCTGCTGAAGTTGAAAGTCTTTCATCATCTGATAATGTAGCGATTTAGTAATCTTAACTGAATCTTTTATTATTATATGATGTATTATGAAATATTTGTTTGTTATACTATTCTAACTATATAAATAAAATCAATTTTCATTAGTTTATTCGTTTTCCTAACTCTAATATTGTATTAAAAAACTTTAATATAATTCTGGGGTTATTCTAACTATTGTTTGTTTATCACAGTTTTTTTTAGTTTGTCAAATATAAAACATAATTGAACATGAATCTTGTTAAACAAAATCATATATTTCATTATTTGTAAGTCGAATAAGTTACAATGTTTGAAAATCAAGTAAATTTATAAAAACAAATAAAAAGTGGGAGACCAATATAGGGAAAAAACAATAGGTAACTTTAATTTTCATGAAACAAAAACGTTAATCTCATTTTTATGGTCCTAGATACGACCTAATATGAAAACTCATGATAACAATTTGTGAATTAATTATCTAAATCTTCTTTACAATACAATGTTTTCTACAAAACATATAACATTTTTGTTTTTAAGGCATATATCATCTCTTCTTTTGTAATAATTCACATATAGAATGAAATCATTTTTGTATTCAGAGGATACAAATATAGATTGACCAGAGGGACATTTACTTGATCAAAGGGACAATTTGCTTATTATTAATAGCCCAATTACTCTATATGGAAAAGAGCATCATGTTTCAACGATTCGGAAAGTTTTATTGAACTATAACCAGTAAGAACTCAGATAAACATAAACTTAGAGGATCAACAAACCAAGAGAAGAAATTTCATGATTGTCTATCTTTTTAATTGGTGTAGTAATTTAATTATGAATATGAATTATAAATATTAAATAAATGTTCATTATTATTCTGTAAATAAAAACTGAATTAATATTTATTTATAATAATACGGCTTAATATTAATCACGAACTTTTATTATTTAAAGTATAAATTGGAAATAAATATATATTTACAATTCAAATAAAAGATATCAAAATATATTATCAAAACATAATCTTAGAAAAAGATAATTAACAATACTTTTAAGATATTATTTTGAAAATATTTAAATAATATGTTAAGTTAAGGTATTTATTTAATAATAATTAATTTACATAAATGTAATGGTCTAATCTAGACTATTTGTAAGTAGATAAAAATTATTTCTGTTTATTGATTGTAACTTCCAACAAAATTGATTGTGTTTACTGAGTCACTATTGATTTAAATTTATTTAAAATTGATATTAGCAGAAAAGGATGCATTTATAAAATTAATTTATTTTTTAGTATTTGCAAATAATTCATAATTGACTTTTTTAAATAGATGAAGTTTCAAACACATCTAAAAAATTAATTTAGTTGCAAAAACCTTTAACCACATTTATTTATGTTTGAAACTTCATCTATTTTACAAAAATAAATTAATTAACATTAAATGCTTGAAACGAATAAGTAAGATATTACACTTATAGGTAACTGAAGTAATAAAGAATTTTTTTCGTTGCAAAAATATCTCGGAAACGTTATTTTTATCAATTAGTACAAATCAACCGTCAGAACATTCAAACCCAATGAAATGATATATATACACATTCATTGATCATGAGAATATTATTAAAACAATTCAAAGAAGAAGTATGGAGACTAAGACAATTTTCAAGATATTTTTCATTATCACTGCTTTAGTATCATATGCATATCCAAGTTTGGGCCAAGAAAATGTTGACAATGAACCACTTGTTAAACCCGGTCAGGAGTTTGATACATTGGGTGCGATGTCACCCGTTTCAAAAGATTACAATATTTATGTACTAAAAAACCTTCCACCAAAAGAAAAAAAATATCTCGAAACATGTATGGAGAAGATGGGACTCACTGATATTTGGCAATGTCATGCCGATGTTATTCATGAGATTCTTACAAATGAACCTGTTTCAAAAGAGTGTTGTCTGAAGGTAATAAAAGCTGGAAAAGAATGCCACATGCATCTGACTAAATTGACGTTTCAATTTTATCAACTCAAACACTTTGCTTCTCAAGTTTCTTTCAAAATTAACGAGGTTTAGAATAGATGTTCTGCTAAAGTTAAAAGCCCTTCATCATCTCATAATGTTGCGATTTAATAATCTTAACTGAATATTTTGTTATATTGTATGATGTATTATGAAAAAAATTTTTGTTATACTATTTTAACTATATAAATAAAATAAAATTTTCATTAGCTTATTTGTTCTTCTAACTCATGTTGTGGAATGAATTTTCCCCATAAGAAGTAGAACATTCCACGAAATATGACAGTTACTGAACCAAACACAGAAACAAAAGTGGTGAACTCATCAGATAAAAGACGATTGATAAGAAAGTACAATGACTCTGGTACAATCTTTTACCTTTTGCTTTAAATTTCCTCAGAATAAGATAGATGATGAACCAAGTCACATGTATCATTAGGAACAGTGATGCCACAGCAACTAGCCGCCTTTCTGCTCTCTTGGTGTACCCCATATGGCCATGTCCTGTATTATATAAAACTCAGTGCCAAAATATATAAATTCTGCAGGTAATAGCACAGATGATATAGTAGTACCTTTTACAAGAATATATATAGTTCTAGGCCTATGAGAAGGCAACCTTTTGTTGAACCATATGCAAGACAAGAACAGTTTTGTATACAAACAACATGGCAATTAACTGAACTGAGACGTCCACCAGTCTCCTTAAGTATAAACCCATGGCCTGAGAAAGCTGATACTGTCTTTCTAAAATAGGTATAAGGAGAGGGCGAAGAGCTCCTGAACCGAGAAGGCGTATCCCGGACTATGCAACTTGCTTCCAAACACCGCCTTGGATCGTTCTTATAACAGTCATTACCAACCTCTTGACCAATAGTGAAAGGACACGCGTGAGCTCTCTATCAATCCTGTTTACTTTTTGAGGCTCCTCTTAAGATCTTCAATCTGCCGAGTGAGTCAACCGTGAGGCTAGCAGAGAGTCCCGGAATTGGATTATTACGGTTAGCAATCCAAACAGCTTTGTCCTGGATATAAGTATACTGCTTATTACCATTAATATATAAATTGGTGTACAAGATTCGAGATACAAGTTGCTTGAGTTCTTGAAAACTTGAGTTTGAAGATATTGAAAGTTGAAACGAGCTCTTGCCCATCTTTCAAGTACTGTCCCTGCGGCAGCGTGTCGGTTGAACAGCCATCATATTTATATATGAAAAAATGGCTTCTTCTTTTACTCTTGATACAAATAGCCAAGTTAATATATATAGAGAGAGCAAGTTACATAATCCAACGACTATAACACCAAGAAAACGATATAAAAGTAGTAGGGACAATGCTATTGCGTCGCATTCGAAGATGATGCGTGTTGGATGTTTGTCACCGGCCATGTTCTGTAAATTTGAGTCTGAATATAAAGACGATGTGTATACAAGTGCTACATACTTACATGGAATATATATATGGCATCATGGTTATTAAGTTACCATGTTAACCCCACATACAGAAACAGAGGAAGTTCAGTTTTATCTTCAACTCACGAGTCACCTTGGGTCCATCACTGTGATAGTAACTCTATTTGCCGATACAATTTCTGGCTCCTGTGTCTCAATATCCATTTCCGGCGAGCTTCTCCGGGGACCATCATAGAAAGCTGGCTCTTTAGGTGAAGAAAGAGCATTATTACCTTCGCCGTAAATCATGGACACAACATCTAACATACTAGGTCTATCCTCTGCGTTTTCTTGTACACACAACAGAGCAACTTGAACGCATCTCAACACCTGAGGATTATTAACTGCAGAATCTCCCAAAGACTGATCTATCACCTCGCTAATTCGGTTCTCTTTAAACATATTCCACGCCTGTAGAAAGAAAAACAGAGTTTCAAAGAAGTCCAAAGATGTTAACAATGAAACAAGAAGAAAAAGTTTAGCTACATGAACTATGAGATTCAGAGGCCCTTCTGAGTCATGGTGGAAACTATTGTTCTTCCTTCCACAGATGATTTCGAGCATCAGAACACCGAAGCTGAACACATCTGATTTAGCTGAGAATAGTCCTTCTCTGAAGTACTCTGGAGACATATAACCACTACATACAACATACATAGCACTCAGTTAAAGTCTAATCATAAAGCTTCTCTTTGTTTATGGTCATTTTCTTTACTTACAATGTGCCCGCAACTCTTTTGGTGTTGGCTCTCGATTCCTGTGCTCCAAATATCCTAGCCATACCAAAATCAGATATTTTCGGATTCATATCCTCGTCTAGCAAAATGTTACTGGCTTTGATGTCTCTGTGTATCACTTTCAGTCTTGAGTACTTGTGGAGGTACAAAAGCCCTTGAACTATCCCTTCCATGATCCTGAACCGCAGTGTCCAATCCAAAACGTTTTTCCTCAATGAATCTGCACAACAGAGTTGGAGACAAAATTTCAGATAGTTCTACAGATTCTTAGATGCTTAAGCAAATCTCACCGAAGAGGAAGTAGTCAAGGCTCTTGTTGGGCATGTATTCGTAAATCAACATTTTCTCATCCTTCTCGATGCAACATCCTAGCAGCTGAACAAGATTGGTGTGTTGAAGTTTGGCAATAAGCATAGCTTCGTTCTTGAACTCCACTAATCCTTGCCCGGATGCTATTGATAGTCTCTTGATAGCAACTTCTTCCCCATCTAATAACCTCCCCTTCAAGAAAGCAGAGGAAACATCAAAATCATCTCTTTAAATGCATATCAGAATCTGAAGAATCTTCCGTACCTTATATACAGGACCAAAACCACCTTCACCGAGCTTGTTTGCATCGGAGAAGTAATCTCTTGCCAAGGCTACAGTTTCAAAACTAAAAATCTGAAGATCATTATTATTACTCTTCCTTGCACTTCTCCTGTGCCGGCGGCCTCTCCTATCAATTCCCAGTTCACGTAGTAGCATTTCTTGGTCTATTGTTGAACCAACCCGCGGTGTTTGAAGCCTCCTCCTTATGCAATCAATCACTAAATAATCATACACACAATTCTCAATTTCGACAAGGACAATTTTCATAAAGGCTTATACGAAAGTTAATAAGCTGAGGCCTTACATTGCGGAATGACTTCCCCCCAAAAGAAGTAGAACATACCACGGAATATGACACTTACTGGATCAAAACACAGAAACAAAAAGTGGTGAACTTGTTGTTAGAAAGAAAGAAAACAAAAAAGTGCTAAGAAAGTGTACGAGTGAGTCTGATACAATCTTTTACCTTTTACTTTAAATTTCCTCAGAATAAGATAGATGATGAACCAAGTTACAGGTATCATTAGGAACAGTGATGCCACAACAACTAGCCAAGTCGGCGCCTCGTTCTCTTGGTGTGCCATATATCCTGTACTAAATAAAACTTAGTGCCAAAATATAAATTCTGCAGGTAATAGCTACACTTCAATAAAACACAGATGGTATGGTACCTTTTACGAGAATATATATAGTTCTGGGACTATGAGAAAGCGACCTTTTGTTGGTAGGATCAGTATTCCAGATCTCGCAGCCCGTACCATCCACATTGGTTGAGGCATATGCAAGACAAGAACAGTTCTGTATACACATAGCATGACAATCAGCTGAACTGAGCCTTCCACCAGTCTCATTAAGAACAAACCCATTGCCTGAAAAAGCTGACACTGTCTCCTGGAAATAGGAATAACCAGAGGGTGAACAGTTCCTAAACCGAGATGGCGTATCCGGGACTATGCAACCTGCTTCCAAACAACCCCTGTCATTTCTCCTATCACAAGAAGTATAGTCGCCTACACCAATAGTGAAAGGAGAACAGCGGACATGCGTGAGCTCTCTATCAATCCTGTTTATATGCAGAATGCCCTTTTGGTCTATCATTATCGTGGGGAAGACTGTATCAGCATAGTGGCGATCAACGGAAAATATAAAATAGTGTTCACTCTCGGTTGAAACATGAGAGAAGACAAACTCGTGGCTGTTAAATGCCTCCAAAGAGAACCGATGTTTATACCATAGCCCACTAGCCCAATACACGTTTCCACGCCACAAGATGATCAACCGGTTTGTAATATTAGCATCCATTCCAAAGACAAAAGAACCAGAAGCAGGTAAAGTATCACCTAGACATGACGTCAGCTCCCATCTCTGTCCAGTCTTGACATTGAAACCAAGTTTCATCCCAGGGAGAAGGGTATCTGTCGGATAATCAAAACTTTGCCACGAAACCCTCCTCACGGATCCATCGGAATCCATCTCCTGAAGTTGAAGATTACCGGAATCCAACAGCTTAAGCGTCGTGTTGCCAGTGGTTTGCGTAGAAGTGATCTCAAGCAGGCTTTTTGAAGCTCCTCTTAAGATCTTCAATCTGCCGAGTGAGTCAACCGTGAGGCTTCCAGAGCGTCCCGGAATTGGATTATTACGGTTAGCAATCCAAACAGCTTTGTCCTGGATATGAGTATACTGCTTATTGCCATTAAGATACAAATTGTTGTACCAGATTCCGAGATACAAGCTGCTTGAGTTCTCGAAGTTGAAAAACTTGAGCTTGAAGATATTGTAAGCTGAAACGAGCTCTTGCCCATCTTTCAAGTATTGTCCTTGCAGCAGCGTGTCGGTTGTGCAGCATGGTTGTCCTAACAAGAGAGATAAAGTTAAAAGAGTGGTAAAGATGGTATGTGGCCACAACATAGCTTCAGGCATTATGCACTTAAAAGATGTTCTGAGGAGGTAATACCTTCTCATATGCAATATAAATTCAAGTCTTTTAACACAGAGAAGTCCAAGTCCACGCTGTTGGGAGCCAACATTGAAAGCCATTTTCTATTGACGTATTCAAAACTACAGATGTTGTTACATGAAAAGTTAGCTTATTATAAACTAACGGTGAGGATTGATAATAATGACCAATTTGAATTGACTTTTCCATGCAAAATTGTACCGAAGATATAGACAAGTAACATGAGTAAGCTGCCACATAGCCTAGATTATTCAAGGCAACGTATGTAGGTGTGATGTAAGTTGGATGAATCGTGTTGAAAGCTTCTTCTTTTACCAGCCCACTTGAAAAACACTGAACCTTGACGTTAATTATGAACGTCTAGCTTTAATCTCCAGAACTAAACGAACTAGTGATCTTTAAGCAATCTCCAAAAGCCTTCTTAGCATCAGTCCCTATTTTGAAGATTTTGAGTATCCTTATGAATCTCTCATCCAACATCCCCACTGATACATCTTTTCTAGATAATTTTGGGTTTATATTATTCCTCAGAACTCAGAATCCCTAAACATCTAAACAATCTCATTTTTCTCCAAATTAGAGTCTAAATTAGACGCAAACAATTCTACGAAATTTACTCTCCCGGCGGCGAAAGGTCGATAGAGTCGCCGTCGGTGGTTTTAGCAATCAGAGAGAGAGAGAACGTCACGTGAGGCTCACGTGTTATCTTAAAAGATTTGAGGATGATGATAACAAAGGCGGTAAAGTCTTAGGTGGCGACTTCTTATTGGTTGGTAAATATTTTCACAAAATTGCACGTGACCCTCACGTGGTGGGTAAGTGATTTTAGAAGTTAGCCACCACACATTTGCAATCTTCAAAGATACTTTGCCGGAGAAGATGGGTTTCCTCGTCGGAGCCACTTCCTTCGCCCCCTCTCCTCCTCCTCCTCTCCCTTCTTCGTCTCCTTCTACGTCGCGCTTCCTACTTCTTTGCTCCAACAATGTCACTAACTCCAAGCGTCGCCGACCACCACCGTCGGCTTCTCTACGCCGTCAAGATACAAACGACGACGAATTTTCCGTCAAAAGAAGAGATTTTGTTCTTGTGGGTGTCTCTGTTCTTCCGTTTTTGCAGTTTCGGTCTCCGGCTATGGCGGACGAAAGTGAGTTATTTATCAGTGCTACTTGCATTGTAGAGTTCTCCTCTAGAAATTCTAGGGTTTTACTCTTTTGCTTGTTGTTGTTCATTCTTGTGATCACTTTGTTTAGGAGGAGAGAGTGAGATTAAGACATCAAAGCTTAATCAAGGAAGTGAGGTTGCTGTAAGTGAAGGAACGTCCTCAAATCCGTTTGTGTCTCTTTTGAATGGTCTTGGAATCTTCAGTGCTGGTGTTCTTGGTGCACTCTATGCTCTGGCTCTGCAAGACACAAAATCTGCTCAAGAAGCCATCGAATCTGTAAGCTTTCTCTGCTACGTTTAACATTTTTGTTAGCACAGTGTTCTTGCCTGCCTTTGATTACTCATTAACCATTTTATCAGCTATAAGCTAATTGTTTTAGTTTGAGCTTCTCTTTTTGTTTGTGTGAATACTTGTTGGATTTGAACTTTTTTTTTTTTTTACTGATAACCGTGACATACAGCTAAGGAACCAGTTGAAAGACAGAGAAAGAGCATTGATAACCAAGGAGAAAGACTTTGAAGCAAGACTGCAGAATGAGCAGGAAGAGCGGAACAAGGAGCGTAAAAAGGCACAAGAGGATAAGTTGTCTTTGATCAGCCAGTTGAATTCTGCAAAGGATGTGGTTACAGGATTAGGCAGGGAGCTAAGCAGCGAGAAGAAGTTATGT